TCGATGAGATCAGTAATTTGATGAAGGACACTCAGTTAGTAAATAGCAGAGCTGGATTTGAACTTAAGTCTTTCTGACCCCAAAGCACACCGTTAGCATTTCATATATTTTTACACTGTATTCATCACTGTGGCTATCTGCTCCATTTAACTGCAGCCTTATTAAGGGCAGGGGGAGCTTGTGTTCCCTTTAGTGACAGAAATGGTGGTAAACAGATAAATGAATGAATACATGAATCAATTAAAATAGTCCATATGTTGGACATATGCATACGGAAATTGCTAAACTGGGGTTCTAACTAAAAAGCCAGGATTATACAACAGAGCATGGGTCAAACTAAGAGAAGGGAGCCAAGAGGCAACCCAGATACACTGTTGACCCCATGAAGTTCTTAATATTCCTTTTTTATTTTGTGTGAAACCTTTCTGGTTTTTTTTTTTTATGAGTTGGGGTCTCACTCTGTCGCCCAGACTGGAGTGCAGTGGCCGCTCCCGGCCACCGCAGCTTCGACCTGCTGGGCTCCGGCGATCCCTCTGCCTCAGCCTTCCAAGTAGCTGGAACTACAGGCGCGTGCTACCACGCCTGGCTCATTTTTAAAAAAATTTATTGTAGAGATGAGGTCTCACCAAGTTGCCCAGGCGGGTCTCGAACGCGGGGGCTCAGGCAATCCACTCACCTCAGCCTCCCAAGGCATGGGATTACAGGCTGAGCCACCGGGCCCGGCTGGCCTTTCTGTTTTGGTTAGTGAAGACTAATCCTATGTATTGCCAGAATCTAGGCAGTAGAATGATCAAGAATGTTCAAAAGGATTTCTGAATAAAGCTATATCCACTCTCCAAACGAAATGTATTTAACCTACATATTATGAGTGTTTAACCTGGAAAGTCCTAACCTACGTCACTGTGATACTAGAAAGGAAAAAAAAAGTAGCAACCAAAATATTTATGCTAGAAAAGATAGGAACAAAAAAATTGATGCAGTTTGGATGTTTGGATTATTCCTTCGCCTTTTAACAATTGGTTCATTCATATACTAATAAAATATTGCCTGTAAAAGGTAACATTTCTAATAAACCTAAAATTTTACTGACAGATACCGTTGACATATATTTTATCCTGGTAATTCTATAGATATGCTTTTTTTTTTTTTTTGAGTTAATGTCTCACTCTGTCACCCAGGCTGGAATACAGTGGCACACTCACAGCTACTGTAGCCTCCATCTGCTGGACTCAGGCGATCTTTCCACCTCAGCCTTCCAAGTAGCTGGAATTATAGATGTGTGCCACCACACCCAGCTAATTTTTTTTATTTATGGTAGAGGTGAGGTCTTGCCTTGTTGCCCAGGCTGCTCTCAAACCCCTGGGCTCAGGCAATCCTCTTGCCTCCACCTCCCAAAATGCTGGATATACAGGTGTGAGCCACCACCACACCCAGCTAGATCCTTCTTTTTAAGAGACCTCTGTTAGATGATTTCAGATACAATGTTATCATGGAAAGGGGATTGACTTCCACTACTTTTACCAGTTAAGTAAGAGCTTGCTGAGAAATAGATGTTGAACCATTACTTTCTTTGTTCTGCTTTTCATTTAGTTCTTATTTTCTGGTCAGAGTCTTATAGAAAGCAGATGCAGTGATGGCACAACTCCTGACATGAAGGAGAGTAAACTAGCAGTCCAGAAGTCCATAATCTGTAATTGTGACATTACCACTTAGGGGTGGATAGAAAGTATTAACTCACTTTACACAGCAATCATCCAGAAAATATTCTTTCTGAAAAGTAGGAATGGGATTAACAACACTTGTGAAAGCATACATCTTTAAGCTTCCTGTTTACTAGATTGATGCAATGTAAGAATCTTCCTTAGATAACAGTCTAATAGTGGTCCTATCTTTTATTATTTTCCTAAAATATCCCCAAGTATGAACACCACAGCTAGCTGATCAATCCCTCCGTAGCTTGGGTACCTAGGGACATAAACTTAGTGGCTGAGCCCTGGGCTCTATCAGACTCTTCCATTTCACTTTCTAATTCTGTGAATTCAGTAAGGAAACTTACATAAAGTTATCAGCGATAGCCGACGTCTCTGGAAAATCCTGTGCTTATAAAAACATTTAGACACTTCTGCAAGATCCTGTATGCTTGCTGATATACAGTGTTGGGAAGTCACTATTTGCAAAGTTAGTCATTAGAGGGGGAGGGTTGAAGGTAACTAACTCTGTATGTTTAGGCATTGCACAAGTCTTGGCTTCATGCCAGTGGAGTTGTGCATTTAAAACATTTTTCAATTGTCAAAGAGGAATTTTTTCTTCTCTGAAAATTTTGTTTAAGTGCTTAGGGTGTTACTGTTTATATTAGGTAGGTCGTTTGCTATTGTCAAGTAACATTTGCAATAATTGAGCAAGACTCCTTTAGCCATAAAACTATGCTAACCTCTGCAGGACATTCATTCCTCAACTCTTTGCTGACAGTACACAAGTTATCATATAGCCTGCCTGGGAGTGTGAGGTACAGTTCTATTTTCAGCTCACCCTCTGGCTGGCTCCATAACCTTGGGAAAATCACTTCTAGGCCCTGTGCCATAGGCCTGCCATCTGTAAATTAGGGCTGGTTAGTAACCCTCATCTGGCCGAATCAGTGGAAGTCATGAATTCTGGAGCTGGGCAATTAAGAACTTCAAAATGCTCCCTGCAAGTACCACTGACACACTCATTCTTTTGAGTTTTTCTCATATACCAGCCTTCTTGAACATTTGATCATGTTTTTGCTCTACTAACAACTTCAACAAAGAACACACTAGAATGGTTTCCCTAAATTTGGATGGCCTCACTAAGCTCCTTCCATTCTCCCAGCTATCACACAAGGAGCACTTGAAATATTTCCACTGAATTTTACCAAGGCAGGGGTTTAACCAGGATTCATTCATTCTGTTTCTGTCAATGGATGGGGATCAATATTGTTAGAAAAAATGGAAGTTTAAAAGAAATTCATACATTTAAGCCTCTCACAAACTTAAAACACCTACATTTATGTCATGCTATCTTATCCTATGCAAGGCAACTGTCAGCTAGAGCCTCCCTTCTCTTGCAATTTAAATAAGATTGTCTCAAATATTCAATTTGGGTAAGATCTTCCCAAGATTACCAGCAATTTCTGTCCTCTCCATCCCTGAGCACTACTTTTTATGTGCACTGTCTTTTTTTTTGAGTTGAAATCTCACTCTGTCGCCTAGACTGGAGTGCAGTGGCACGCTCTGGCCACCGCAGCCTCGACCTGCTGGGCTCTGGCGATCCTTCCGCCTCAGCCTTCCAAGTAGCTGGAACTACAGGCGCGCGCTACCACGCCCAGCTAATTTTTAAAAAATTTATTGTAGCGATGAGGGCTTGCCAAGTTGCCCAGGAGGGTCTCGAACCCACGGGCTCAGGCAATCCACTCACCTCAGCCTCCCAAAACGCAGGATTACAGACTGAGCCACCGAGCCCGGCTGTTCACTGTCTTTTTACTGTACCAACTACCTCAATGCCAGCCTCTTCCTCAGTTTCTACAAAACCCCATTCACCACAGAGCTTTAGCGAGATTTTAAGATTTGGAAAGACAACTTTAAATTTACATATTATTTATATATTGTTTATGCCTGTTCTGTAAAAAGTTCATTTTCCTACCCTGTCCCCAGAGATCCCCACTAGCCCTTTACTCTCCATCACCTGCTCTCTCTTGCTCTAGACTTGTCTCTCCCACCTACCCCCTCCTTGCTTTGCCTATCCTCCCCACTTTACCCCTCTCTCGGGAGCAAAAATAAATTCCTCAGCAGTTTTAGGCAGAATGGCTTTTCTTATGTTGCCAGGGCTTCTGCTCATACCCAATTCTCAGACTTTCCTTTTATACCTGTAACAGCTTATCAGGGTACTTCCCCCAAGATGGTTTTTTCCCTTATAAGAGAAATCCTGGTATCATTTATGACTAAATTCCCCCCTCACCATACTCAACAGTGCATACTTGTTTATGTACACTCATCAGCCTTTACAAACTAATTTGTATTCTGCTTTTCCCACTATTTTACATATACCTTCCCATTTATTTTTATTTATTTATTTTTTTTGAGTTGGAGTCGCACTCTGTCGCCCAGTGCAGTGGCCGCTCCCGGCCACCGCAGCCTTGACCTGCTGGGCTCCGGTGATCCTTCCGCCTCAGCCTTCCAAGTAGCTGGAACTACAGGCGTGCGCTACCACACCTGACTAATTTTTTTGATTTATTGTAGAGGTGAAGCCTCGCGGCCCAGGCGGGTCTCGCACCCGCGGGCTCAGGCAATCCACTCACCTCAGCCTCCCAAAGGCGTGGAATTACAGGCTGAGCCACCGAGCCCGGCTCACCTTCCCATTTATTAATGTAACCTGTTTGCTATTTTAATACACACTCCCACTTATTGTGTATTTGAGTTGTTTCCAGCATTATTTTGTTTTACATTATGAATAGTGTTGCTATAAACAGTCAGTAAAAATTGATCTTGGATTATTTTGAGGGAATATATTCCCAAAGTAGATTATTGGTTGAAAACAAATTTCATAGGTCTTGTGCTTTGCTATAGCACTCCTGAAAACAGTTGTTCTAACAAAAAATTTTGTCAGTTTATGAATCTTACCTTTATCAATATTCTCTTTTGTAATTTTCAATTAGTACTGCAGCAAGGCTACTAAATTCCCCAAGATTAACCTCTCTGAGTTTCTTTTCTACACTTGATCTTAGCCAAAAGGCTGAGAAGCAATGAGTTTCTTTTCTTAAATCATTATTGGTTTGTTTTTATAGAGACAAGGTCTTACTATGTTGCCCAGGCTAGTTTCGAACTCCTGTACTCAAGCAATCCTCCCACCTCAGCCTCCCAAAGAGCTCAGATTATAGGCCTGAGCCACTGTGTCTGGTTTCTGGGTTTATTTGAGATCTCTTTGGTCATATACTTTGACTCTTGTTCAGTCAAGTCTGGGTACTGATTTTGTTTTAACACTTTTATTGAAATACAATCCACGGGAAGACATCCCTTATCAACAAGGGTGACTGAACCATGCATATTTGTATACCTAACCCTTAACTGTACCCCACAATTTTAAAATAAAAAAATGCCTTTCTGGCGGTGATGACCTACCCATGAGAACATGCCTCTCGCAAAGGACCTCCTTCATTCCTCTCCAGAGGAGGAGAAGAGGAAATGCAAGAAGCACCTGGTGCAGAGCCCCAACTCCTACTTCATGGACATGAAATGCCCAGGATGCTATAAAATCACCACGGTCTTCAGCTATGCACAAACAGTAGTTTTGTGTGTTGGCTGCTCCACTGTCCTCTGTCAGCCTACAGGAGGAAAAGCAAGGCTCACAGAAGGATGTTCCATCAGGAGGAAGCAGCACTAAAAGCACCCCAATCAAGATGAATGGGAAACCATCCCAATAAACACATTTTGGATAAAAATAAATAAATAAATAAGATAAAAATATGTTAAAAAAAGAAAAACAATCCATATATAATACAATTCCTCCACTGAAAGTATAAATTCAATCAATTTTAATATATTTACAAAGTTGTGCAACTAACATCTAGTCAATTTTAGAACATTTTACTACCCCAAGAAGAAACTCTGCACCCTTTCACCCCTACCAATTTCTCCAACCCACTCCCCAGTCCTAGGCTACCACTAGTCTACTTTCTATTTCTGTAGATTTCCTGTTTTGGATATTTTGTATTAATGGAATCATACAATATGTGGTCCTTATTGACTGGCTTCTTTCCCTTAGCATAATATTTTCAAGGTTTATCCATGTTGTATCATGTAATGGTACTTCATCACTTTTTATTGCTGAATAATATTTCATTATATATAGTCCATTACTTTGAAAAAATGGGCAAAAAACACAAGCAGATAGTTCAAAGATAAGGCTAATTTAAAAATTAAGTTCGATAATATACTGTACACAGAGATGTGGTTGAAACAGGCTCCCTGACAAATTGCTGTGGGAGCAAAAACTGAAACTGTATGGAAAGCAATTTGGCAATATATATCAAAATTGTAAAAGTCCCCCACAATCCAGCATGCAACACCTAGGGATTAGGCTAGACATACATTTGTTCATGTGTCGGGTGGCTACAAATAAGTATTGCTTGAAATAGCAAAAGAAGGGAAACAACTATTTGATGGGATACAGTGCAATCACGAAAAAGAATGAAAGCTGTCCAAAATACAGTGGTAAATGAAGAGAAAGATGGCAAAACAGTGTGTGTATATATGTATATGCAGTGTGTATGTGTGTGTGTGTGTGTGTGTGTGTGTGTGTGTGTGTATGCAATTTTTAAAAACACACAGAATGGTCAACAGTGGAAAGAAAACTGGCGGGGGTGGGGAGACGGGGCAGCAGAGAATGGACACTTTCTTTTCACTTAATATATAATTTTGACACAATTGAAAATTTGAACCATGTCACTCGCATATTATCTAGTCTCTAAGCATATAAGATGACCCGTGGCTTGTCTTCCTCTGCGCATCATGGCCACCAGAATTCCAGGGCAGTGAGACTTTTAGTTGTCCTCTGGTAGAGATCACCTCACCCCTTCAGCCTCCTCTATCACAACATGACTCTTTTTTTGGTCCAGATGGATCTCGCGCTGTCGCTCAGGCTGGAACGCAGTGGCGCTATCACAGCGCACTGCAGCCTCTACCTGCGGGCTCAAGCGAACCTCCCGTCTCAGCCTCCCGAGTCGCTGGGGCCGCAGGCACACTTCCACGCCTGGCTACCTCTGACTTTGATCCTGGAAAGGCGCCTGTGTGGGCTCCCTTGTTATCAGTTTCCGTAGCTGCCCATTCACCAGAATCACTGGGAGACCCTCCAACGCGGCTGCCTTTTCTCATTCCCGTGTGCGTGCTCTGTGGCTGGCCCTCGGGAGGCGTCCCGTGAACGGCGGGTGAAGAAATATCTGCCTGAAAACAGCAGAAGACCCCGCAACATCAGAAGCGCCTCCCGAACGTCCGCGGCGCCAGCCCTCTCGTGGGAGGAACGCACGGCCCCGGGGCGCGTTCTCGGAGGACGGCAGAGCCCGTGGCGTCGCCCGGCGGCCGAGCGTGGGCGGGGCGTCCGCCC